TCTTCAACAGAAGCATACAAGTTGAAAACTTTAACTCATTATAATGAGAGAAAAAGTGTACCACCCCTGTGAACAATGAATGAGTGATAAAAAGGAGAAAAGCAATTAGGGTGTTAACTGAGTGAATATACTCAGAGAGGTAATTTCTCACCTGTTAAGCCTGATCAGGTTTATCTGAGAGACAAGAAAAATGTAAGTTCAAAGTTAGGTTTAATTATGCTTATGGGAACAGTGCAGGCCACTAAAGTGTTCCTGGGGTCTTTTTCACCTTAATTATTTTATTTGCATCATGAAGAGCAGAATAATCATGATAAATACAACATATTAAGAGATACGGGCAATTTGCAGGACCATAAAATTCCAAAGGTGTTGATAAGAACACAAGATTCTCTTTCAATAGCTACAAAGAGACTGAAAGCAAAGACCAAGATGCCACTCCATGAGCTGATCTGCAAAAAGACCCCCACAAGCAAAGTCCAGCCACACTTCATGTCAGAGAGAACAAGCAACGTGACTGGATCATTTCTGGCCACACCACACAAGTGATGTCATAAATGGTGAATATAAATGACACTGGGAAAAGAGAAACTTCTGCCTCCTTTTTAAAACTTTGGTAAGTTGCTGTTTATGAAGTAAAACATCAGATGTTCTCATTCATGTTCAAACTCTTTTTTTTTTTGTCTCCCATGGCATGAGTTAGCAGGTTATTTCCACAGCTGGATGGGAAGGTAGAATCCCTTGAATAGTTAAGATTAAATAAAATTTTCCTACATCACATTTAAAGCATAAAGCTTAAGTGTTTGCAGAGCATGTGTTATTTCATTTTCCAAGCCCCTGTGGCATTAACAGAAATAAGTTACCCTCTGCAAAATTAGGTAATTTTACAATTTTAGATCAGGAACTTCACATAAAGCAAATGTCACAAGTCCAAAATGGAAAAAAGTAGCTTATTTTCACATGACAGAAAGAAGAAAACCCCGAGGGAGCCCAAACACTTTGCAATGTAGGTAAAATATTTATAAAGAACTCCCAAAAAGCATTAACAAAAGTTATTAAAGCATTTAGATAGCTCTATCTTGTAAATGAAATAGTTCTTTACGGTGTTTGGGTGTGAATTATCAGGACATGCCTGTCAGCCTAACTTTCCACCCACTAATCTATGTGAAGTCACCATGGGGAAAAAAAAGGGTCTTGTTTCTAGAGAGAGGAGTGAGTGCTGCCTTTTCCCTCAAAGTAACAACACATCAAAAGCATCACGTGAGTGTGGCACAGGAATGACACTGATTCCTCTGCAAGGAACTGCTTCAGTTCACACACCTTCTGTGCACCTCATACAGTCACAGAATGCACTGAGTTGGAAGGAACCCATCAGGATCATCCAGTCCAACTCCTGGTGCTGTGCAGGACACCCCAACAACCCCCCCATGTGACTGAGAGAGCTGCCCAAATGGTTCTTGAACTCAGACAGCCTTGGTGCTGTGATCACTGTTCTGGGGAGCCTCTTCAGTGCCCAACCACCCTTTGGGTGAAAACCTTCTCCTGATATCCAACCTAAACCTCCTCCAACTCAGCTCCAGCCACTTCCTCAGGTCCTGTCACTGGTCATGAGAATGAAGAGATTCATCCTTGGCCCTCTGCTGCCCCTCAGGGGGACAGATGTTGAAGGACACGATGAGATCTCCCCTCAATCTCATCTTCTCCAGGCTGAACAAACCAAGTGACCTCAGCAACTCCTGACAGGGCTTCCCCTCCAGACCCTTCACCCTTGTAGCTCTCCTTTGGATACTCTCTAATAAATTAATATCTTTTTTATATTGTGATACCCAAAACTGACCCCAGGACTCAAAATGTACTCTGCCACACCAGGCCAGAGCAGGGTGGGACAATCCCTTCCCTCACCCAGCCAGCCATGCTGGGCCTGATGCCCCCAGGACATGGTTGGCCCTCCTGGCTACCAGGGCACTGCTGACTCATGGCCAACTGGCCATCAACCAGGACCCCCAGGCCCCTTTCCACAGCTTCTAATTTGATTTAAGGCAGTTACATACAGTAAACCTGTTATGATCAGAAACTGTAAGTTTAATGACCTCATAAAGTGAAGCAAAGTTGCAGGCACCTCCTGAAAGGGAAATGTGAAAACATCCATCAAATTTTAGCCCTGGGAAAAAGATGTATCACTGTTCAGCTATTGAAAAGATAAAGCAATTTGTTCTCCATACAAGGAGATCCTGTTGGCTAGAGTGCAGCTTCACCAGCAAATTATAGACAAGCAAATTACTACTTGTGTATTAGTGGCAAGTTAATGAGAAAAGCATTTGGGTTCACATAAATTTATAGGGCTGACATGAAGCTGCTGGTTCTCTTTGATACTCCACTGCCACCTGTGTGAAGTGTCAGTTTTAAGACGTGATCCAGCTAGAACACCAAAGAACAAAGACTTCAGAGAAAGTTTCTAAGAGCATTCAGTAACCACTTTATACAGCAGTAAAAGTAATAATTGTGCCTACCATTCCAAAATCCTGGTTTTCAATAATTAACCTCACAATGACAGTCCCCAAAACCTTTATCACAACGTCACTAAATCTCTGCAACGAAGTCGATCAAACTTCACACAGCTGGGGAGAAGTTACTCTCTCCTCCTCTTCATCAGCTCCACACTTATCAGCTGATCTCCTCTCACCATGAGGGGCAATACCAAGACCAGGATCTGTTCCTATGAAACTTCACAGTACAAAACTTCTTTGGAAAGTGGCACTAGGATCCTTCACCCCCCTTCTCTGCAGTAGAGGACCCCCTTAATCCAACAACCTTCTTCTGTCAAGATACAGCTGGCCATCACTCCACTACAAAGAGGTAGGGGAACAGTTTCACCAGCTCACTAGAGAAAAAGGAGAGACAAGTGAATGGAAAAAATTCAAGGAACAATTAGAATGAAAAAAATAAAGTAGTTATGAGCATATTAGAGGAACTGCTTGTAGCTTTGAAGAAAGTTATCACATAAAGACCATCCATTAAAACAGTTTGAAGTCTTAAAGGACATTAGCAGAATGATTACTGGGAGGCAGTACTGACAGTTCAGCAGTGATTTAAGACATTCAGTAGTCTAAGAGAGGTATCAACTTAGAAGGTATCAACTAATATACCGTTGAAAACAGAAAAACCAATTAGTGAATTGAAACAAAGGGGTGTCATGTAAAAGAAACAGGTTAAAAAAGCTCTGCATTAGTAAAATGAGAGGAGGCAGACAGCACAAAACCCAAAACTTTTCAAGGGCAGAAGGTTTGCTGCAGTAATCAAATGGGTAAGACAAGAGAACAGACAAGAAAAGCTATTGTTCAAACACACTACACAGTCTGAAAGAATGGCTGAAACCTCATTCTAGGTGCTCGTGTCTACTGTGTGTCAAAGAATAATTAGCTTCCCACCTCACAGTGAAGTATGATTGAGACAGCTCTGTTGTACAGATCAATCAAGATTAAGGAACATTAAGAGCTTTGCTGTAACCACACTTGGTTTGTGAACATGAACATTTAGCTATCAAATACTTCAGACATGAGAAGACCAATACGAAGCAGAAGGTCAAAGAATATTTTAGCAAAATATTTTGCTATCAGCAGCAAAATATTTACTTCATATATTCAAATGAGAATACCTACATTCACCTACAACAATGGAAAACCAAAACAAATGGAAGTGTTTAAGAATGATGAGAAAACAGCCACCTGAGAAGACCCTTACCATGACAGACTGCAAACAAGGCGAGGAGAAAGACAACAGAATTCACCAAGTTTCAGCAGAAAGATGCCAATTCCAGAAAATGCATGTATTTCCACTGTTACACGAAGAACACATGCCTCAAAAATGGAACTGGAGGAAAGAAAACTAACAACAGCCAGTGATACCAGAAGAGCAGGAGACAACAGTTCCAAAGCCAGCTCATCTCGCTTTAATGTTACAAAAGATTGTATCACATTCCTATTGCACGAAGAAACAGAACAAAAGGGATGAAGGTGACAACTCAGGAAGGAGATGCAAATATAAACTGAAAGGATTAGAAGGTGAGGGAAGTCACTGGAGGCAGAAAAGGGTCTGAAGAGAAAAAGATCAGATGAAAAAGCAAGGATGGGATCACACTCCCCCCCATCATCACAGACAAGACCCTGCAGAAACAGAGGTAAGTTGGCATCAAAAGATGCAATAAGTACTGGTAACTTGGAATTCACTGGTGAACCTAATGTTCCCCAGCAGAATGGGGAGGCAAAGTGAAGGGCTTCTATGACATAAGATAACTATTCCCAAGCTTCTGGTTCTAAAAGAACATAATAACCCATCAAAATTTATTGTAAGGTCATTATAATGACACTGTGTAAATACTGTCATTAAGTTTCTCACAAATAGTCATCACATATTTGACTACTGCCATTCTTGAGACCACTTATCATCCCTCCTTGGGCACTGACAGCTCATCCTGAGTCTGGAAGCCAACAGCCCAACACATGCTGCATCACAGGATTTGTCAAATAACTTAAATGCAGTTGTATTGTCAGCTGCTTGTAGGCCTCAACTTCAAGGGCTGCACCTACCACAGATATTTCCTTCCTGTTGTTTAATATAAATATCAGAGCCATAACTGCCACTGATGCACAGTTCAAATGTAAGAAACAGTCTTGAAAAAGGGGCCTTCCATCTCTTCATTCACCTCCCTTGAGGCATCTCTTCCCCTCTTTCATTACCTGAGAAGAACGAGAAACAGAGACAGCCAGGGCAAACTGGCTTTTGCAGAAACACTGAGGGACATTTGTCATTCCCAAAGGCAAACTACAGATGCCCACTGACAGTTAAAACATCCCTGTACACACCTTGGGGCAGAATACCCAAATCCTGCAGTGGTGCAGCCCAGGTTCTCCTAATCCTCTTCAGAAAAAACGTCAAACCACTTTACTAACAGATTTTTGAGGTTTTCAGCTCAAAAAAATAACACATCTATTATCATACCTCACCTCGTTTTATATAACCGGTTCTATTATTCTCCCAGCTAGAGAAAGGATTAACACGGGTGTAAGCGAAGGAAAGATTTACAGCGGTGTGAAAGTTGTGGACAATGAGTCCTAAAAGCACCTGGACAAGGCGGGGCCCAAAGCGGCTCCGAGCCCCCCCCGGGGCCCGTGCCCGGCCCCGGGCCCGCCGTCCGCGCCCAGGGAGCACCGTCCCGCCCCCGCGGGCGGCACCGCCAGCGGAGGCACCTGCAGGCGCAGCCCCGGCCCGGCCCCCGCCCCGCGGACAGCGCGGCGGCCCAGCCGGGCGCTCCCTTTGTCCGGCCGCTCGTCCGCGGGGGTCGAGGCGGCCGGGAGAGGGCCCTCCCGAGGGCGGGCCCGTGCCCGGGCGCGCCGCTAAGCGCGGACCGCAGGGCCGGGGGGGCCAGGGGCTGAGCGCGGGCCGGAGAGGCCGGCGCGGCCGGGAGCGGCGGCCGCAGCTCCCGCCTACCTTCGTTCGCCAGGTCCGCCCATTTTACTGCCTCGGCCCGCGCCCACAATGCACCGCCGGCCGGACGGCGCCGCGCACCGCGGGCCCCGCGCGCCGCGCACGCGCAGATGGACGGCGGCGCCGGGGCGGCACCGTGCGCGTGCGCGGGGAGGGGGGGGCGGCGGGGCTGGCCCGGCCGCATCCGGTCCCCTCACGGTCGGTCCGGTCCCCTCACGGCGGTCCCGGTCCCCGCGGCCTCTCTCGGGCAGTCCAGTCGCCCTCCCCGTGTGTCGGGCCGTTACGGGGCCCCCGTGGGCCCGATCGCTGCCCTCGGGTCTCCGTGCTTTTGCTCCCCCCCTCCGTGGCCGCAGGGCCCAGGCGAGCGGGCCGTGAGCTGAACGTGAACGGTTCCCGGTACCGCAGCCCGGCCGGGCTCACGGGGCAGCCATCCCCGTGCAACTGCTGCTCGGGGACGCTGCCGGCCTGAACATTGACTCAGGATTATCTTGAGCTGGAAGGGACCCACAAGGATTATCAGCCCAACTCCTGGCCCTGCCCAGACACCCCAACAATCCCACCCTGTCCCTCAGAGCGTTGTCCAAACGCTCCATGAGCTCTGGTAGCCTTGGGGCCGTGACCACTGCTTTTGGGAGCCTGTTCGGTGTCTGACCATCCCTTGGGAGCAGAACGTTTTCTAGAGATCCAGCCTAAACCTGCCCTGACACAGCTTCATGCCATTCCCTCACCTGGACCGTACCCTTCTGAGCCTTTTCTCCAGACTAAAGACTCAAACCCTCAGTTATGGGAGGCTGCTGCTCCATCCCACACATCAGTATTTGCCATTCTCTGTGACTTCCAGCTCTACAGAACTGTGCACACTGCTCGAAATGTGGGTGCACCAGGGCTTTATATTGCCCAGAGTGACAGCAGAGAGAGTCTGGCTGATGTTACTGAACAAACACATTCCATCATTTTTAAATGGAGATCAGTGAAGGCCACATCTGCATTCGAGGGGGCACTTTAAGCAGCAAAAGACTCTCTTTAACCTCTTACTCTTTGGCTATCAAGTCAGAAGAAAAATACCATTAAGAGTGTTGCTTTTCACCCAAGATGGGTCCTGTCATCCTTCCTGGTTTAAATAAACTTGCTACTAGTCAATAAGCTACATGGTCCTGAGCAAGTCATTCCTGTTTTCCCTGAGGGTAAAGCTCTGGCCATGGTATCCACAGATACCTGGGGGGGACATAGCAGGGCTTCAGAAATGTTTGGGTTACATCTCAGCAGAAAATTCTCCTTTCTGGAACTGAGTGTGGGAAAGAGATTTGGAAAATTTTTGTTTATCTAGAAAAAAAAAATCTAGTAGTTAGATCATCTAAATTCTGGAGAGGATCCAAGACTTAAAATAAAGGGGACACAGCAGAGAAAATTATTCGAGGAAATTAATAATTGATATTAATTTATTATTCTGTGTTTGGTGCAGAGTCTGAATACAAAGTATTTGAATGCAAAGCCAGATACAAAGTCTCTGCAAGGAGGCTAAAAAGGGAGGTTGAGCTGTCAACTCTTCAGTGAGCACCATCACATTTGCTCCCTGAAGAGGAAAAACTTTGAGAGGACTGGGCCATATTACTGTCTATTGAACATCCTGTCCACAAGGCAGCTGTGAGAAGGACAACAACCTCAATGCACTTTGTAAAATTTTGAGTAGTAGTCTTATATGCAGGAACAGGATTTTCATCATGATGGATAAAGCCACAGCTGCAGCTGGGACTAAATACAACTTTTGAGAGGCTGAATGCAAGTTTTGACCACTAACAACAGCCAAGAAAATACCCAGGAAGCACCTGATGGGGTCTGACAGCACAGATCACCAACCCAGCAGTGCAGAGCCTGGAATCTGAGTGGGCAGGACAGAAAGTAAGGAGAAAGCAGGTGGCAGGCAGGCCTTTGGTCCAGGGCTTGGGACACCTGATGTCACAGCACGCAACAGAGAGCACCAACACTGCTGAATCAGAGTCAGTGCCACTCAAACTCTGGCCATCAGGCTGCAACACCTTTTATTTGAGCCCAGCTGACTTAAAGCTGATTTTAGCATATCCTCTGACCATGACCTGAAAGTTTGAACAGCTTCACAAGATTTTTTCAGTGCATGCCCACTGCCAGCTTACAGGGGTGAGCACTAGTGCTGGCAGCTGCATGATGTCCACGAGGCAGCCTGAGTTTGTGCCTGGGTCTAGACCTTGTCTGTGCCTCTTCCCTGGAGAACATTTGGTGCAGAGAATTTAGCCAAAAGCATTGGCATGTCTCTATTCACACAAGAACTGTAATTTTCAGGGATATACAATATGGCTGATTTAGCACCAGTCTTTATGGAATTAAGTTCCTGTCCCAAAGCAGACATGTCCTACAAACTGAGCCAAACACTAATATTGAAAAGGTGTGAGAGTAATTACCCACTATGTGAGTATCTAAAAAACAATAATTACATTTTTAATTTAGGTCCTCATCCTGATACAGATATCCATTACAGAAAATTTCACTTCCAAGTATTAATGCCCGTTAAACCTATAAGAAATTAAGAACATGTTTTTATCATGAAAATGTTGGGCAACTTTAATTATAGGAATTACTGTCCTGAGCTTCTCTAATGAATGTGTGATACCAGCATAGTGAGTGATGTGACCTATTTGAGGGAAGTGATTTAAAAAGAATGTACCTCAGAAAGTTACACTCATTAGACCTTAAGAACCAGCAGGTCACAGTGTGCTCTCTATTCATGTTCTAATTAGAGCCCATACTCCTCAGAATCATTAGCATAAGAGAGGAAAATTAACAGTCTTATCCTAACAGTGTTGGGAAGCCAAATTCTGATTTAATTTACCTTCAAGTAAGTCTATAATAACACCAGGGTAAATGTGATTCTAGCACTTTATTATTTCAATAAAAAAGTAAACTCCACCCACACCAACTTTACAGTTCCTGTGACTTTTAGAAATTAATTACAAGAGTTATCTGTACCCTGTGAGCTTGTCAACTTGCTGATATAACTAGAATCTATTTTGGGTGCATGCCATTAAGATACTATAAATGCCATACTTTCTGATTAGTACTATTGTTAGGTCAGCATTTCTAAAGGGACATGGCCTAAAAGTCACTATGACTTTGACAAATTAAATATTTTTCCATGGCTGAGCTCTCAAAAAAAAAAAAAAAAATCACCACCAACAAAACACCAACCCAGCAAAACCAAAAAACCCAAAAAAACCTCACAACCAAAACCAGAACTCATTCCTTATGGCACGAGAGAGCTGGCAAGGACCAGCAAGTTTAGAAGGGATGGGGCTTCCTTTCTTCAACAGCAGCGTGGACTTATGGCAGACTCAACTGACCAATGTCACAGGCTCTCCCAGCTGCCAGACCATCTCTGTGGGTCTTCTGTAGATCCCCTTCAGAATGTTTTGTTAAAGTCCTGATCCCTCTTGCAGCAGATGACACCTCCTGTGCCATCCTGGCCCTCAGCCAGAAACTGCTGTGTTAATGACACGGGGTTACTGAGCAGTGGCCAAGCCATGTATCTTCAAACACTTGCTGGAAATGGCAACAATAAAGAAAATACATCTGTTGACCTGATTTCAGCCAACCAGCAATGTGGAGGCAGTGGTTCATCACTGGAAACTAAGGGCTGCACGTAGGGTGTTGTGAGGGTCTTCAACATGACAGTGACGTTGGTTACCACCAGTAATGCTTTCAGAGGTTCTAACTCAGCGAGGGATTTCTCATGAAACATTTGTTTCCCCCTTTGGGAGGACTGGATTATAGATTTTACCCCGAGGAAGGAAAACCATCAATCTTTCTCCAGCTGTAAGGAAAGAAGTCCTCTCCTGACAGTTTTGAGGAACCAACCAACCACACAGCCTACACCTTGTCTTTTCACTGGCCTCTGGTGTAGTTTCAGAAGTTTTTCAGGCTGTTATTAAATTCAGTGGTTTCTAGTAGACTCATCTGCAAGGATTTACAATGATTTCAGTGGGAAAACCTACAGGGTAAAATACTTGCTAAGGTGTAGCGATCAATACATCCTATCAGTGGATTGATACTCACATGCTCAACACACTGCAGAACTGAATCTGGCTTATAAAAATAAGGGAATATTTGGGGGTTTACTCAGCATTTCCAGGAGCTGTATGCAGTTTCAACTGCAGACCCTATAACGACATGAGGAAAGGCACCACTGACGTGAAGGGGAAGGTTTTTCTGTTGATTGCTTTGCATGTAACAAACAGCCCAGCCGAGTGAAACTCTGAAATTCCGATGGTGTCCTGCTGGCACACAGCTCTGTTCATCCAGGCATCACTTAAGGGGCACTCAAGAGCAGCCAGGTCTCCCTGGGCCGTGGTGTAGCTCTCTCCCTGGGCTGTGGTGGGATCTCAGGCACCCACTAGGTGGTGGTCTGGGATAACAAGAAGGAGGCTTACGAGGCCCGGAGAGCAGAGGAATGGAAGTGTTGCTTGCCATGAGGGGCTGAGGGGATATGTCAAAACACAGGACTTGGGACACAGTGTTAAAAACACCATGATGGGGTCACTGAGCCATCATCACCTCCCTGATGTTTTCTCTCAGAGGAAGCAAGCTGGGTCACTCCAAGTTGTGTCTCATTTCCAGCAAAGTGCATGTGTGCAGGGACAACTAAGCACACCTACAAACACAAGGAAATGCCTCAGAAGCATTCCCAGCCTGAGGTTCACATCTCTGATTCTCTTGCAGTGTCAGTGCTGCCCCTCAGCTGTGACCCTCCCAGGCACAGCAGCCCACAACTGAGATCAGTGTGCTGGTGTCCTCAGAGCTTTGTGTGGGCTCTGCATGACATTAGAGCCTGAAAGCCTGAGCAAAGCTGTCTAACTGGGGCTGCTCAGGGGCTGAGATAAGAGGCTTAGAAATCTCACTCACCACCCTGCACTGCTGGGAGACCCCGACCCCGGCAGTCTGAGCCTGTGTTTGGCACAACCTAAGAGCTGAAATGGAAGCAGCATCTTCCTCTGCAGCCTCTGCAGTGTGCAAACAAAGAGGGACCTGCACACCCATTCTCTGACAGGACTTGGGAGCATTTCTTTTCTAGGATTTTGTTTTCCTGAAGTGCTTTCCCAAGCTGGTGGAGCAGTACTGGCATACAGACCACTGACACTGAGTTGCTGAGCAGTGATC